AAAAAAAAAAAAAAAAAGAATGACTATATAAAAAAAATCTAGAATGGTTCATGCTTCAATAGACGACCTGTGAAGTGCTTATTTTACATATGGACAAACTGAGGTTTGGAGAGGTTAAGGAATTTGTTCAGGGTTTCATAACAAGTTAAGGAATCTGACTTTTCCCATCCTAATACTAGGCTGCATTCCTATATGTCACTTCTAAATCTGCATCTATGGCTCTTTGCTAACGTTCCTGCCTCGAAATACTGAATCTACCTAGCTAAGGCATTCAAAAATGCGATAACTCGTGAAAGACCTAACCAGTTTTAACTACCTCATTTTTTTTAAAAGTTCGTATTTATATCTTCCCAGCTCAATGTAGAAGCTAGTAAGTTTTAATTAATTTCTGAGAGGGAAGCACAATTTATTTTATTTTCCCTTCACATGTTTCCAGGTCTCGCTAGACATGTCCAAGTTCTATATAAGTATTTCTTTAAGTAGATTCCTATCAGCGCCCCAGGTCCCCCCACTTCTCTCAAAGAAACTCCTTCCCTGCATTAGCTTATTAATCTTCCCCCAGGGGGAAAGATTGCTTGCTAAGAAATTTTTCCAACCATTTGAGTTGGGTCTAATAAAAGATATATCCGATTCACCCGAAGAACCTTGTCTGCCTATGTCCTTAGACCACCACGGCTACAACTACACCCCTGTTAATCTTCCCCCTGCCTTCTAGCTTGTGTGTGAAGGCCTAATGCAAGGGACAGGCCCCTTCCAGGGGCGGGGTGGGGGGTATTGGCCAGACTAGACCTAGTTAAGGTTAATAGCATGCTAATTAATGGTGTGGAGTACTACAAAGGGGAGGCCCAACATCAAACCATCTGTAAAGCATTGAGTGATTTAGATGGGTGTAGCAGACTGGGTGGAGAGTATAGCATAATGAAAGGGTTGCTGTGCTATCCAGGAACAGGGGAGAGGCAAGCAAAGAAGACTCAAATACTTAATTATAGCATCGCTCCTTTGTACCTGTCTGTTGCTGGCAGTTTAGCTGAGTCTTTGGGATTCACCTGAATCGTAAAAAGCCCTGGGTGGCTGTGGGGTGTAATACACTTACAGCCTCTGACTGCTTCCCGGTACTGATGACTTACTGGGGCTTTTTGCATTTTAAGGGAAACTCTGTTTTCCCACAGTCGATCAATAGGGAGTTTTGTCTGTTTTTCCACTTCTCTTCTGCTAGTAGTTGAGTCACTTGGAAATATCCAGAGACTCGGCTTTGGTTTTCATTTTGTATGTGCAGTGCCGTATACCTTGCACCCTTCCGTGCTGGTTCTAGCACGTGCATCGCGTTTGTGCTACAGCTAATTTTAGCCAACTGCAGCGTAGCTGGGAAGAGCAGGAAGGAAAATGATAACTTGTTTAGCTCTGTGTTGGTTTAATGCCACGCAAGGAGCGCACGTTCCCATTTGCTTTGGGACTCGGAAACATATTTCTCTAGGCAGCAGACCAGAGCATGTCTATTTTTACACTCGATTTTTATGGAAGGAGCTTATTTTAAGCATTTTCTCTTTAATCTAATAACAATAATTGTGTTGTGTGAGTAACCTCGGGGCCTCCTGTTGTGTGTAATGCTAGTTTTTTTTCTTTTGCATAAGCCATTTATATCCTGACTTAAGTCCAAGTATCCTCTAGCCGGGCTATAATTAGAGACCTTGTACTGTTTCTTGTGTACTTTGTGGTGGAGACCCTGGGAATTAACTTCAGCTTCCCCACCCAGGGGCTGCAGGGCATGTAAGACATGGCCCACAGAGAAGGGGAAAAGATAGTGTCTTGCCTTGGCTGAGAGCCAGGCTACTCGGCAGCAGTATGAGACTGTCATAATGCAGTTGTGCCCCAGCTGTCTTCTGCACTGTCCACAAATGGGTCCAAGCAGCAGAGCTATGCAGCTATGCTGCTGGTCCAGTTTGGCATTGTATTGCAGTAATAATAAACTGGGACCAGGCATGGCCACCTGGCCAGAGCACCGGACTGGAAGGCGAGGGGACTCAGCTCTGCCTGGAGTAACCTGGAGCCTTCACCCAGCCTACAGGACAGTAATGTAGCTCCCCAGACTAGTAATTGGTACAAGAGGACTGTATGGTCTCTAATTTGCAAGAGCTGCTTCACTTTCCCTACCTACATCCTTTGTAAAAAGACTTAAAAACTAGTGAGGATCCATATGAAAGAGCTGGGGGTCAGCATCACTGGTCCAGCACAGCCACATTTAGTGCACAGAATCGTGTCCCTTGTCCCACTGAGGGATCACCACAGGTGTGTTGGGAGAAGTTGCCCAGGACAAACCTAGTAACTCGCTGTCTCCCAAGCTAGGACCCTTTAAGAATACAGGGTGGAGAAAGAAAATGCACAGACTCTTTCCCCTGTTTATGGGAACCAAAGGGAGGTTCAGGTTCTTCATTTTAGAAAATGCCAGTCGCCCAAGAGACCTGCCCCTGGGGGAGACTGGGTGCGGGGCTAGGTGGGTCAGCGTCCTGAGCCAGCGTGGTTCACTCGGGTCTGCACGACTGTGTCTAGTGACTCGGATAATCCTAGCAGCTTTGGGTTAGCACTGGCCTGTGCCTCGATGACTGACTGAGCGCTGACAAAGAAAGGGGACGTGCACTTTCTTTTACTACTCCTGTTGGGTACCAAACTCTTGTTGCACAAACCTTAGCCATGCGAGTTGTGTTATCCTGGGGCTGATTTCATTGGGGAAAGGGAGATTTATTGAAAAAAATGTCAGGAGGAGGAAGGAAGGGAAAGGACCACTCTGAAAACTTGAGGCAGGACCAAAACAGCCCCCAGACAAAGCTCCAGTCCAAGTCGGATCCAGAGCTGAATTCTGGACTCAAACCTGGGTCTGCTGCTTGCATCGCTACTCTGTCATGAAGTGCTTTCCTGTCAAGGGAAAGGGTGGGGTGGGGTGATGGGGACTCTCCTTCCTCCTGGTGACCTGGACACGTATCACTCTCCCTGGATCCTCCAGAGTGAAAACTGATGTTTGTACTGGATTGTTTCTTTCCAGACTGTGTGAGGCGGGCTGGAGGCAAGATCCTAGTGCACTGCGAAGCGGGGATCTCGCGCTCCCCCACCATCTGCATGGCTTATCTCATGAAAATGAAGAAGTTCCGCCTGGAGGAGGCCTTCGATTACATCAAGCAACGCAGGAGTTTAATCTCCCCCAACTTTGGTTTCATGGGCCAGCTACTGCAGTACGAGTCAGAGATCCTGTCTTCCACTCCCAGCCCTCCTGTCGCCTCGTGTAAACGAGACGCTGTGTCTTTCTTTGCAGAAGAACTGACTTTAAGCAAAAACTTTGAAGGCTCCTGTTACACATTTCCTACCTCAGTCTTGAGCTCTGTGCCCATCCATTCTCCCGTCCATCAGATCAAGCTCAGCCCGATCACTGCCTCTTCATCCTGCTGAAATCCTCTTGGAGAAACGCAAGCCAATGCAGTCCTCTGACACCAACTGTGACTCGAAGAGAAGCATTTCATGGACGTGCAATACAGAAAGCCTCATGGACTTGGCAGCCAGAATGGCCGTTCTGCTTTAGACTAAGATGTGAGTATAGATGCTGGTTACACAGAGCTGTACGCAGGGCAGGCTTTCAAGAGATTTCACTCACACCTTTCTTTTTTTAAACACGTGACTTTTCTTTTTACCTTGAAGTGTGCGCTCACTACTGTCCTCCTGGGCCCTCTGGAACCGTGAAGGGGCCAGACCCAGGCGACTTGCTCTCTGTTCCTGTCTCCTCTTAAATGTTATTTTAAGAAGCCTTGTTTTAAAGTTTAAGCAATAAACAGCTGCATCAGGAAAGAGAGCAACTGGAAAAGCACAATGCCAGGTGGCAACAACTCGCCTATCTGTTTTGCTTTTGCTCGGGTCGCTTTTTGTTCCCACACTTGGAGGAATGAGCTGAGCAGGGGCCGAGGTCAAGAAGAAGCTGATCTGTTATTGGGCAGACGGAGGCATGGCAGGGGGTTTTCACCTTTCTCAGATGTACTGGGCATTGGCCTTTCTGGGGCTGTTTAGGTGTGGCATTTCCTGCACGCGCCTTTGTGCTGGGTGTACCCAAAGCAAAGAGCCAGGGACGGTCGGTGAAGTGATCAGGCCATCCTGCTGAGCCGATGTGCTCCCACCTGCTGTTACTTAAGGACTGCCCTAGAATACTTGAATGTCTACCCACCCCTGGTCTCAGTGACTCTTCCATCAATTGAAACTGTAACCGCTGGATTTTAGACCAAAAAACTTCCCCCGTCCAAACCAACCAGGAGCCCATCCTCCTTTGAAGTGTTACCAGTTTGTACTGTGTGTAGCAAAGTGGTCTTGCTAAGTGTTACGTGGCTTGCTATTGTAAGTATGGTCACTTCCACCCAGTGTTCCTGCAGCTGAAACGGTTTCATTTCTTCCCTGGGCGACTGACTCTTCCTCCCTTTTTGCGTCATGTTCTTGTGTCTGCAGGGAGTTCCAGATGTGCTGCTGCTTTGTCTGTTGACCTTTTTATTATAATATTATTATTATTATTATTATTATTATTTTTTACCTATGGGAAATGGCAATAATTTCCTGAAGATCTCCTGAATGTGAAAGAAAAACTGAAATGTTTTTACGGAGTGTGAATTAATAAAGAAACAAATGTTGACGCGTTCTGCTTGTTTTACGGGCAGCGAGTCACAAGTTCTGAAAAAACGTGCTTTGCTCGGTTCAGTGCTGCAAGCTGCCACCGAAAGGGTGTGCGCGCCGCAAAGCCTGCGTAATTAGAGAGGAGGAGGAGGGCAGGGTATAACAGCCACGTCACTCTTGGCAGAGCAGGGACGTTCGTTTGCAATTTTCTGTTGTGGTTTTGAATGGCATGAAGTGTGGTGGGTTCCCTTCCAGGTGGCCTGTGCAGATGCGCCTGTTTTGATGTGCGTTTGTGCCATCTGGTTTAAGAGCAAGAACAGAACTGGGGACGCCCCTTCCTGGACCAAAACCACGAGCCGTACACTTTGAGCTGTACGACTAGATCCTGTCCCCCTTAGCTGCAAGCAGCTTCTGCGAGCCAGTCACAATGGGGAACGGGGGGCATAGGATACTTCTTTATAAGAGCCCCAAATTCACGTGAAGCCTCAGGCAGTCTGCAGGCCAATGGCCTCTTCCTGCCACTTCATCAAAACAGAAAATTTAGCACACAAGCTCTAAACAGAACCTGAGCTTCCTTCCACCGAAAGAGGCAGGAATCGTAAAAGATTAATTCGGAATAAGCTTGGAAAAGCCAGGATACAAATGGAGCACAGGGAAAGGAGCGGGCTAAATGTTTCAAGAGCTGCTTTGGGTCTCCTATAATGGTGATTCCCCCTGTTTCTTTCTGTCTTTGGCCTACCTAATGAGGTCTAGTTAATCAGTGTAAGCAGGAAATGCAGTTGCTAGATTGTCACATCCTCAGGGGCTGTCCCTCTTGGCTTTCGATGCATACAGGATATGAAACATTAAAATGTTGTCATAAAAACCAGACCAGAAAAACAACCAGGCCTGCCAACGGACTTACAGAGTTCATCTAAAGGTAGGGAGGAGATGCACTTCACCCAGGAAAACACCTGAGCACACAGGTTCCTACGCTGTGGGCCATGAGACCATCCATCAGGGCGTCGCAGCCTGCAACAGGCCCCTGCTAAGCTCAGTTAAAAGTCTGATGCTAGCGGTGCACGGTGAGGAAATTTGGAAACTCCTGCCTTAGCCAAAGGCCTGGCAGTCACTGCGGTTACAGCAGCTTTTGTTAGAGGGAGTCAATGCGACACAAGGGAGGGATGAGCCGGACTCCCCAGAAACTGAAACCCGGACTGGCCAAGTCATTTTCTGATGGTCTCAGGGGAAGTCGGTGGTGAAGCTGGTCCTAGAGCTCAGGGCTGCTGGGGGGGGGTGTGATACACACCTGGCATGACGAGCTGGGAAAGGGGAAATGAAGGGTCTGAGTCCTTCCCCCAGCTGTATCCAAAAAGCTGCTCTAAAAGACGGTGGCAGAAGGTATGTTGCGGCTGCTCGGGCTGGGCTGCAGGGTGGGAGCAGCAGCGGGAGAAGGACGGCCGTGGAGGGAAGTTGCGAGTGCCAGGAATGAGCAGCCTGTCCTCTGCAGCCAAAGCCCTGAGCAGAGGACAGAAGGGGAAATGAAGGAGCAATGGCCTTGTGAACCTCAGACTGAATGTGCACCCCCCACTCTCCCCCAGCTCAGCGATGTAAGTCTGAATTTCCTTGTCTGGGGTGAGTGATGGAGGGAAAGACTTGCAGGTGACTTGCCTGGCCACAGGGGCACTGTGGATGGCACCTTGGACACTTGCATAAAAGGGGTGTGTGGAAAAGAGTGATGTTTTCATCCTCGAACTAAAGCCCAGTCCTCGGGATTAATGGCAAATGTGTTGACACCTGGCAGAAAACTAAGCTGAACTCCAGCCTCCTCCGGCAGCAGCCAGAAAGCCACCAAGTCAGCAAATCCTTGCGTGGCCGTCGTTCTGCAGTGGAAGTGAGACCTGTCGGCCCGCTGGTCTCTTCTTTCCCTCCCTACATCTAAGCAGAGAGACATTTAACTGTCTCTACTTTTGCTGGGTTGTCTCTCCCCCAGCCTGGTGCACTCCCGTAAAGCAAACTCCCCCAACTCCAAGCAGGTCAACGCACTGTTGCCTGAGAGGCATCTCGCCTCCATCCCTTCCCGTGGCTTCCTCTGGCTCGCAGATCCCGTTCACAGTTACTTGCCTGGTTTTCACCTCCCTCTGGCCACCTGTCCCTACCCTCCCTGGAACCGTATCCTGGTATCCTGTTTTCAAATGCCATTGCCAAACTTCCCCTTCCTCTTCAGCACCAGCGTGGTTTTGGGAGATGTTTTGTGTCAGGGTGTGAGAGGCATCCTCCATAAAAATAAGCTGTATTGTCTTCAAGAGCCATTAATCCTCTCTTCCAGAGCAACGAGCAACCTCAGCACAGTAAGGTACCAATAAAGGACTTTGGTGTGCAATTTTTGGGTGGGAGTCCTCTAGAGGGGAGCCCAGTGCCCTTAGCTGAGCCTCCAAGTAGTGCGCAAGGGCAGTTAAGTTCCCCACCATGGTACCACCACAGGACCTTCAAGCACTGCCATTTGGAAAGAAAGGGGCAGCTGCTGATGGATTTAACGTGGTGCTCGAACCTGTCGGTAGGTGTTGGACGTGCTCCGAGACCAGCTGCTGGACTGAGCTCCTCTCGGGACTAAGACAAAGGAATTCTGGCTCCTGATCCGACGTAGGCACGAGCTTCGACCCACGCTGCTCGTCCCCGTTGGGACTGGGCAGACCAAGGCATTTGCAGAGGTGCAGCTTTAGGCACCAAGGGAGTTAGAAAATAAGGGAAGCCGTGGAGTCGGGCTTTTAGGATTGCAGTTTTGGAAGTAGATGTTTAAATCCTCTACTGGACCCTTAAGCCTCCTGAGAGCTCGAGCATCCAGCCCCTAGTAATAGTGAATCAAATCTAAGTCTGATGCATGTCATATTGACATTCCCACAGACTTTCTCCCTGATGCAGCTGATGAAGCGAGCTCCAGCCCATGAAAGCTTGTGCACACACACACACATATATACTTTGGTTAGTGTATAACGGGGGTGGGCTGGAGGGTCACACTCCTCTCTCTGTCGCTCTGTTCTCCACCCCTCCCAAACCTGCAGCACGCCCCAATCCCCACCCTGCCCAGAGCTGGAGCGTGTCACAATCCCCACCCCACCCCGGAAGCTGCTGGTTGCATCCACAGCTCACGCCCAGAAGCAGCCCTGGGTGGGTGCCAGCGTCAGCTGTGGACGCGGCAGGTTCTGGGTGGGGATCGAGGCATCCACCCGGATCCGCAGCTGCCACCACCATGTCGGGGCTGGGCAGAAGCAGTCCAACCCACCTGCCTGGTGCAGCGGAAACAGCTCTGCCCACCCAGCACCACGTGGCAGCCAGAGCCGCTGGCTGTCCACGGGTTGGATCCCAAGAGTTTGTGGCCAGATGCAATCAGCTGGTGGGCTGGATGCAGCCTGTGGGCCATATTTTGCCCATCCCTAGTTTACTAGGTGCAAACCTACCTTGCCTTCCGCTTGACTTCAGACTAACACACACAACTACATTCCCCGTGCACTCTACCGAGTAGCCCATGACTATGCAGCAAAGCTGCCCAGTGTTACTTGATCTGCATTTTCCAATATGCCTTTTTTTTTTTTAAACCATGATTGGGTAGGTAGATTTTTCCTTTCAAGCTGGTCTCATTTCATAGATTTCATAGACATAGGCATGTCCCATCTACCAGATTTTTAAATGATTACAAATCACCCAGGGAGGGGCCCATGGTCCATTTGCCCATCAGCAGTCAAGAAGTAGTCTGCTTTAGTCCAGTGTTTCTCAGCCAACAGGACATGCTCCACTGGTGGGATGTGAAGTTTGTGTCAGTGGGACTTCTAGTGTCCTTAAAAATGTCCATGAATGATTAATATAATACTAAAATGCATGCAAATGTCAAAATACACTTCTTGGGAAAAGTGGGGTTTTGTTTTTATCATGGCGAGACCAGGGGTTTTTGGCAAAATGGCTGGTGGGATGTAAGGTGCAAAAGGCTGAGAACCGCTGTTTTAGTCTGTAATGGGCTTTGGGGCCTGCATTGGTATGCGGTAGTTCGGCTTTTCCTGTTCGTAGGATTAAACCTCTTCCTTAATACGGACCTTAGTCCACAGAGCTGATGCCTTTACAGCACAAAGGTTCTGGGTTTTTTGAATCAGTTTGGTCATCTAAACACAAGACGCTGCAGCGTTTACCTCCGTGTAGCTAGTTAGAGCATCACGTAGTCTGGGAGTATAGAGTAGTACCCAGCTAGCTGCACTGAGACGAAAAGAAAACCTATCCACGCCTTGCCTCCATGAAATGCAAAACTCTAGAAGTCTTGGTTCAGAGATGATCCCTTTTACTAGACCAACTAAGAAATTGCAAAAACATGATCTTGTTCTTTTTTTGTGCCATTTCCCAGTTGGCCTAATAAAAGGGATCGTCTCTGAACCAAGAGTTCTGGAGTTTTGCATTTCTTTTTGTCTCAGACCAACACGGCTACCGAATACATCCGTCATCTCCATGAGGCTGTTAAGTTGAGCTGGCTGTTGCTGTGTAAATCCGGCAGCAAATTCAGCAGTGCGGGCACAGCTAAAGTGGGCCACTCATTGATTTATTTATTTAAATTCCTTGCCTTCCTGTGGGGAAAAAGTCCAGGTGACAAAACCTGAATGCAGGCGATCTTCTGCACATGTTGTCATTTGTATGTTAAAAATAACACTTGCATTGCTGCTCGGCTAAGGACCCAAGGCGCTGTGGTGGTAACTCAGTGAAAGGAAATGGAGCTCGCCCAGGAGGGGTTTGACCCGATGCCTCCCTCCTTTCACGGGCTTGTGCTAATTGGAAGGGAGAGACAACGCCAACGCACTGTGTCTGGGGAAAAGCAGGAGCCAATTTACAGAGCCACATCAATGTGGAAATCAGATTTTTGGTGGGGGAAGTGTGACCATCACCCCCACCACACATTACGGATCTCTGACATTTGCTTTATCACATTGTAGGCTTTCTCGGAGACATGAGTAAGTACTCTAAATAAGGGCTATGAAAATAGCTCATGAGAGAGGTTGAGTC